CCTCGGCCTCCAGAGTGCTGAGATTACAGGCATGAGTTACAGCACCCACCTATTTTGCCCCTTTCAAAAGCAGAAGGGAGCAAGCCTTGAGGCAGATAGGAGGATTAAATAAAATTGTGAATGGAAAACTGATGAGCACATAACAGACACTGAATGAATATGAGTTCCCTTGCCCTCGTCATCCAGGGAAAGAAGCAGCTCCCATTTCTTTATGTAGTGTGGTGTGTCACGTGCTTCATGGATCTTGTCTCTAGTTCCCACATTGGTCCTAGTGAGAATTGTCATCCTCATTTTATAGATGAGAAAATGGAAGTTTAAAAAAGGTTAGATTACTTCAGCAAAGTCACAGAGGTAAGGAGTCAGAAGTATCAGAATTTTAATTCTGAGGATTCAAAAGCCCATGGTATCACCACTGCACCAACCCACACTTTGAGAAGATAATTTCCCATTACACCCATGCATACCCTCTGAGTCTCATTTGGCTGAAAACAGACCTGGAACCCCCAGCTTATTAATGACACATTGGAGAGAGCTTGCCTGTGCCCTTTGGGTTTAGTCACAGCACCTGCTCCTAACTCCCACCCAGATACCTCCCTCTCTCAGACCTATGTCCTGAACCCGAGCTTGATGACTCATCTTCCAGCACATGAGCACACCTGAGAACAGGCATCTAAGTATCCTGCCAGCTGTGTCTTGCCCACAGGGATCCTGGGCATTGTGCCTTAGCACTGCCTGACTCAGCCCATTAGTTCTGATGGCCCATTGTTTCTGACTTCCTGGTTTCTCTTCCCCCTTCTTTCAAGAACAGCACCCTACTTCTTTTGGGAGAATGCTCCCTCATTTCCTGTAGTTCTAGCGAAAATTTCAATATAGTTCTCCAGCCCCACCCATTCACTGAGCCAAGCCAACAAGATCTCTGCTTTTTCCCTGTCAACACTAATGGACCCAAGGGGTGGGCCCGGTTCAAGCTGTACCAATTAGAGTTTTTCCTTGGGGTTAATGTCAAGATGCTGGGAGAAAGGAAGTGTTGTTTTGGTTGGGTTTGCTTCACTGTGTCTGTCAGTAGCTGCTATGTTCCCTCCATGTGAAGAAGTCTGTCTATAGAGACTAGAATGAGATTCACAGGAGAAAAAAAGAGATGCACTGAATACTGAAAAGGGAAAGAGAGAGAGAGAGAGTATGAGAATCATAGAGAGAAAGAGAGGTGATTGACTCAAGTCATTATTTCAAGTACTTGAGGCTCTTGAACCTATGTCTGCTCTTTTGGCATCAGGAGCTACCTCCACAGACTTCCTGGTCACCTAAATGAGCAAGTTCCCTCTTTTGCATAAGCCAGTTTGAACTGGAGCTTTGACTCTTGCATCCAAGAGGCTCCTGCCAAGGTGAGTCCTCTCAGCCTTTATCTGATCCCAATGCTCTGATCTCTTGCAGAGAGACTCTGCAGTCCACGATTTTATGTGTATTCCTGAATTGCTAGTTCATCTTGGATTAATCCTTTCCCCTCTGAGTCCTCAGCCAGCATGCCTGCGTCCTCCCTAATTACATCAGACTAAATCAATATTGATGTCTTCTCTAGCTTATCTTACACTGAGGACATTAACATATCTTCTGGATCTTGGATGATATCAAGGAATTACCATCAACCCTAGAAAGTGTGATGATCTAAGTTGGTTATGTTTTT